TGTAAATCTGAATAACAGATGGAAAAATACATCATGGAGACTTAACATTAGTGTTAAAATATTGAACTGGCTATGAAGAAAATCAAAAATGAAATTAGGGACTTTAATGGATAATAAGAATGGTCGAGCAGATTTCTTGGATAGTCTGGGAAGACTAGCATTGTGCTAACACACACCTGACTGCTCAGGACCAACAAACTGCCAAAACATCTGCTTTCATAGAGGTGTTCACACTTGCTGACAATGATTGATGATCTTAATCTCAGTATTTTATTGGCTCGGTAAGATTGGTTACACTCGTAATTGTAAGCATGTACTTAGGTGTACCCAGATTAGTATAAAACGTGACTCTGAACAGTTTGCATCCCCTAACATGAATCATTGCTTCACCAATAAACACTGAAATAGTTTACCAAATTCTGTTGTTAAGAAACTTTTTGGTCTTATTTGAGAAAGTAAAAACATTTCAGAGGTTGTGTGTGTCTAAGTGTGTGTGTGTGTGCGCGCGTATAATAACCAAATAATATTCAGTACAGTATCAATTTGACAATAAGAACATTCCTTAAGGGATGTTCATGGCTTCTTTGGCATTTTCTGAAGGTTGTGAAGCAGGCTGTTCTGCTTGTAGTTGCTAATCCAGTCAAGTGGATAAAAAACTTATTTAAAAAAGCTGCTGGAGGGCTCTCTATTTTCCAGCTCACTGCTGTCACCAATGGTTAGTAAAAAACAAGGCTGTGAGTCTCAAGCTCCATTTGCAGTTTTGTGAGGCTGAGATACCAAAACAAAGTAAAGAAATTTAGTGATAGGTAAAAGGGTTTTTTCCTGAACCTTCTTTAAAAAATAACAACTTAGTGGTGATTACCATGTCAGGATATATTACTGAATGCTGCTGGTGGAGCGAGATAATATGTTAGGGGACCACCAAATTCATTAGCATTCATCTTCTTGGCATCTTCAATATCTGTGCCAAATGTCATAAAAAATCCATCCAGTTGTAAATGAAGTATTAATCTTTAATCCT